TTAAAACCATCTATAAAAGATGTCCTCATTTTTGTCATTGTTACTAATTTGATCTATTTGTGTCTTGCTGTTTCACAGACAACCGAGGAGATTCTGCAAACCTTAGCCTTGACTCATGTTCCTTCTGGCTTTAAAAGACAAATTGCTAATATTGTGGGCTCTTCTGGTGATGCTGTCCCAGATTCACTGGATTGGAGAGAGAAGGGCTATGTGTCCAGTGTGAAGATGCAGGTGTGTGTGTGGTTACTGTATGTTTGATCAAATGCTTTCAGATTATTATAGGTGTTTGTTTTTCCCTGTGGCTGGGCTTCAATTATAATCCAGGTTAAATTTTCACCTGAAGGGTCAACAGGGAGTTATTCTCTGTAGGTTTGAGTTAAAAATAAATAAAAAAATAAGGGGAAAATCTACTTTTTCAGTATTTCAGTTCAAAGGGGTAGTTCACCCAGAAACTTAATTATCCTACACTTGTTCCAAAGTGTTAGTTTTTCTTCTGTTGAACACAGATCTTCTGACTAGGCATTAAACTGTTCATTTTCAATGTATACCGCAGTCTGCAAAACTTTGCTACAGTGTACCTTTCCTATAGTACCTGTAAGATGTACTAGTATACAGACAGACTATAGTATCTCCAGCAGAACATTTATCCAAAGATGCAGTTTTTGATGGTAAATAAAAACTAAGACTGCAGATGTCAATGATTTGTGTTAATTATTTAGCCTGACACGTTTACTGCTCCAATTTTAAATGTGTTTTTTTTTTTTTTTTAATTTATTTATAAACCCAAACATTTAAAAAAAAAAAAATCTTTAAGAACAGTATCCACAATACCGTCAAACTGTTTCTTTATCCAAGGATATTATACTGCCAGAATCTTATAGTAGGCATAGGCCAGTTCTAACAAGTGTTGGGGGTAAAAAAAACAGCCATTGAGCTCCTCCTGGAAGGACATTTTCTAGCAAAAATTTAAGTATAGAACCTATTGTGCAAGGAAGTTGTCAGGCCAAATAGCAGAAATTGTGCGCTTATTATTAATAATAATAATTTATTATTATTATTATTATTATTATTATTATTATTATTATTATTATTATTTGGATTGTCAAACCAGAAGCCAATTTTTATTGTTTTTTGTTTCTGCCATCTTCATATTGTCACGCTTAATCACTCTTCTGTCTATGCATTAGGGTGCTTGTGGTTCTTGTTGGGCATTCAGCTCTGTTGGGGCTCTTGAAGGTCAGCTGAAGAAGACCACTGGAAAGCTGGTGGACCTCAGTCCTCAAAACCTGGTGGACTGTTCCTCCAAATACGGCAACAAGGGCTGCAATGGCGGGTTTATGAGTGACGCCTTCCAGTATGTTATTGATAACGGCGGCATTGCTTCAGATTCTGCTTACCCTTATCGAGGAGTGGTAAGTCTTTTGAGTGGCTTCAAACAAATAAACACTTGCATGTCAAATAATTTTCATAATGTAATAGACTGACCGAGCTATCTAAAGGGTACACATGTAACTGATCTGGACACTGTTATTTGGACCAGATCAGCTGGACCAAGAGCCAATACACAATTATTAAATTTTTAAATACTAAAATTAATTATCAGCTGTAATATGTAATGCATTTAATATCTTTCAGCAACAACAGTGTAGCTACAGTTCATCCCAGCGTGCAGCAAACTGCACCAAGTACTATTTTGTCCGTCAGGGAGATGAAAATGCCCTCAAGCAGGCCGTGGCCAGTGTCGGACCCATTTCAGTGGCCATCGATGCCACCCGGCCTCAGTTTGTCCTATACCACAGTGGTGAAGCATTTTTCTATTTCTCAAGTAAATCCGTTTGATTTAATGTTGTTATTAGGGCTATTACAATTTCTCTTTTCACTGTCCACAGGCGTTTACAATGACCCAACCTGTTCTAAAAGGGTCAACCACGCAGTGCTGGTCGTGGGATATGGTACACTTTCTGGACAGGACTACTGGCTGGTCAAAAACAGGTACGGTCAGATGGAAATCTTTATAGAAAAACTCACTACAAGAATTGTTCAAGAGGACCTGTTTAATCATGCGCTGAGTTGATGCTGATTGTTTCCCTTTGCTTCAACAGTTGGGGTACACGCTTTGGAGACGGCGGCTACATCCGTATGGCCAGAAACAAGAACAACATGTGTGGAATCGCCTCATATGCCTGTTACCCAGTCATGTAGCTGAAACAATGTTGATTTTATGAACATTTCAAAAGGAATTGACTTTTTATTGTCCATTTTCTTGGACGTGCATGTGTTCTGTATGTTGCTTTTACGTTTCCAGTTGTCTTTTTAAAAAAACTATCCAAGTGCGTCTTATCTTATAAAATAAATACAGAATTTTTATAATCTTGTGTGTTCTTTTTGTTTATTACCATTTCAAGCCACAAATTTGCATTTTAATTGACAAGGGTTTCATGTTCAGTGTTGCGGAAATGTGAGGTGACCCTTTTATAACACCATGCTTAGTCAATGAACTAAGGATGTAATGTGTATCTAGACACTTCATTGTCTTTAACACAAAATAATTTGACTACTTATGGCACAGTGTATTTAGGTCTGTTCTTAACTTGACTGGTCATCTGTGCCCGTTTTCAGTTTACATTCACTGTCCATTTGTGCAGGAAGTTGTATAAATGGTTGCCTGCATAAAAAAACAAACTCAAAGACATTTTATTTCAGTCTTTAACGGTTTTGCTGTATTTGTAAATGACTGTAATAAAATAAGACTGAATTCACCGCTAGATGGAGTATTTACTCTTCGTTTGCTTTTGACTTTCCGCTAAAAAGCGTTTTGATTTTTACTGCTGCCGTTTTTGTCTATTATTGCTCAGTTGTGCTGAACTTGAATGCAAGAGCTCAGCGCTGTCTTGTTTTGTTTTAAAATCAGCACTTTTTTCAGCTTCCCATGTTGATGCTCAGTTTTTTCACTTTAATGGCGGTGAAATTACAGAATCTACACACTGGAGCCTGAGGAGAAAAAAAGCATTTTAGCTGAAGTTTTCAGATAGCACCTAAAGGCTTTTGTTTCTGAACTCTCCATATGAACAGTTCAGAAGCAAACGCCTCTGTCTTCTAAAATTAGCATTTTTCTCAGCCTCCTTCAGTTATTTCTCTTTAAATGCAATTAAAAAAAGGTTTATCATAAAAATTCAGGTAAAATAAAAGGAGGCTTCATAGTTACGTTGAAACGTTTTCCAAAAAATAAATGATCTAAAGATCTAAAAGAATTTAAGGTTTACAACAACACTGCCTTCTGAATCATTAATAACCTAGGGGATCTCAGATGGCAAAAAAGTGAACGCGTCTCCTGTACAGGACAAAACGAGAAGTAAAACTAAAATGACAATAGGCAGAGATTAGCACGTGATTAAACAAAATAAAAGCAAAGCAACCAGGAACTCTAAGCCATTAATTCACCTCTACAGTCGACGTGCAAGTTCAGGTAAGATCAGACATACGAATTCATTTATTATTGTTCATTTTATTGTGTATCTTTTCAGAGTCTTTATTCAGTGTTTCTCAGATAACTTTCTCTTTCGGTTTAAAGTATTGGCTGGTTTTTAAGAGCGTTTCATCAACTATGCTGTATGGATTTATTACGTAAAACACACACACACACACACACACACACACACACACACACACACATATATATATATATATATATATATATATATATATATATATATATATAATAAGGTGACGCAGTAGGTAGTGCTGTCTCACAGCAAGAAGGTCGCTGGTTCGAGCCTCGGCTGGGTCAGTTGGCGTTTCTGTGTGGAGTTTGCTTGTTCTCCCTGCATTCGCGGGGGTTTCATCCACAGACCAAAGACATACGGTAGGCTAAATTGTAGTGTATGAGCGTGTATGAATGTTTCCCAAAGAGGGGTTGAAGCTGGAAGGGCATTCGCTGCGTAAAACATATGCTGGATAAGTTGGCGGTTCCGCTGTGGTGACCCCAGATTAATAAAAGGACTAAGCCGAAAAGAAAATGAATTTATGAGAAAAATAATATTTTCATATTAATACTATATATATATATATATATATATACATATATATATATATATATATATATATATATATATATATATATATATATATATATACATATATACATACATACACACACACACACACAAATACATGTATTGATTGATTAATTGATCAACAGAGAATGACTAAAATACATTTTCGTCCATTAAAAAGTACTATTGCCATTTAATTTTACCATTTATCTACGAAACATTTTTGTCAGGCATACTGAAAACAGGAATCATTGATGGCGTATTGATTAATAGGTCACAATGCAGCCACAAAAGACTAATTCCTTTTTTTTATTTAAACTTACACTTGGACATTGTCCTTCAAACCACTTGGTTTTACCCATTTGCCACAATAGGTGTTTGTAAAAAAAGTGAAAATCATTTAAAATGCTATAAAATGTAGCATGAATGTTGATCTTTTTACATATTTAACATCAGAATGTCGATATATTGTTTCAGAAGTCTTGTTTGCTACACTGAAACAAACAAGTAATGAAAAAAGTCAAGACAACAAATACTTTTGTGTTGCTTTAACTTATTTGAATAAGTTACTCAAGTTTCAACAACACTGTAAATAATCCTGGGTTCCACGCAATCGATTTGTGTTGGACAACATAAAGGAATTAAAATAGCTTGTTAGTTTTTACAAATTTTAAGTGGATTGAACATAAAGCATTTTTTAAACTATACAAAGTTTAACTTAATATTTTTTAGCCAGTTTGATTAACGTAAGTTGAAGTGACTAGATCTTATATTATGGTAAACTGACTTATAAACAGCTTGCGTAACTTATAAAATTAAGTTAGAACATGATAAACTTGGTTTAATAAGATACAATTAACTAAAAACATAAGCTATCATGACTGATTGATTATATCATTTTTTTTACAGTGTACCACGTTTCTTACATTGCAAACAGAATTCATTGATTAACAGATAAAATAAATGTGTTTCTCTCGTCAGACCATGATGTTCGGGAGCTTGCTGTTTGCCGTGTGTTGTAGTGCAGCACTGGCCCATTTTAACACCAATCTAGACCAGCACTGGGAGCTGTGGAAGAAGAAACATGTCAAGCTTTACTCCTGTGAGGTGAGAAGCATGTGATCTAATATTTTGTTTATTCACTTCTGGAAAAACTTTGCTTATCACATGTCTAAACCCCCAAGCATTCCTGTAACAGATGACATTAGCATGCTAACAGATTATTCTTGCCAAACCTGAAAATCTTGTTTCATGGGCCTATTTGCGCACATGCATATACTGTACAAGGGAGACTAGTTTTTGATGTTAATAGTTTTTAAACATTAACATGTATAATTGTTGTTTGTGTTGACAGGATGAGGAAGTAGGCAGGAGGGAATTGTGGGAGAGAAACCTTGAACTGATCGCCATCCACAACCTAGAGGCCTCCATGGGCATGCATTCATATGACTTAGCCATAAACCACATGGCTGACATGGTGAATATATTTCCTCTTTCCCCCTGACATGCAATTACTGCTTTATTTCCTTGTTTCTTACATTTCTCTTTTTTTCATTGCTTGTTCTTTCGTTTTTTAAAGCAAATAGCCACTGTGAGATTTAAAGCAATAGTTTACACAATGTGATTACTGTCATGTTTTTATCATTGTAAAGTTGTTCTATAACGCAGTTGTCTGTAGTTTTTAGTTCTCATGTGTTTTTTTTTCATGTTGGATTTTGAGCTCTGCTCCAACCTTTGATTTTAAAAATGAACAAGGTTTAATGACATATTTAGAAAGAAGTCACGGGTAAAATGTTTCAAACTACTAAAATAACTAAATGTTTCAACATAAGATGTCAGAACAGAGATCAAATTCAACTCCCCATTTCTCCACTGTTGAGCTATTTTGAAGCACGTGGATTACCCAAACAGTTTCTGTTCTCTATTGACTTCCACAGTATTATCTCGGGTTTTTTATAAGGAAGTCAATGTGAAACAGTAAACATCAGAATATAATGATCAGTTTACTGGACCTTTTGCACAGAAGCTCAGATTTTCCTTACCTGTTTCACTTTATTCTGTGTTTCATATTTGTGTCTTGTCGATTCACAGACGACAGAGGAGATTTTGCAGACATTAGCCGTCACTCGTGTTCCTCCTGGCTTCAAGAGGCCAACAGCAGAATATGTGAGCTCTTCTTTTGCTGTTGTCCCAGATACACTGGACTGGAGAGATAAGGGCTATGTGACTAGTGTGAAAAACCAGGTATTGTATTACATAGATTGATATATTTTGACAATCTGATAATTGTTCAGCCTTTCGTTCAGTAATATAACTCGATTGTGTTTCTTTATGTTGACAAACTTTTTTGATATTTCTTGATAAGCCATCGTGAAATAGAAAGTGTTGCTCCATGCCTAAATAATTTGTTTGGATGTTTCATATAGAAATAACGATAGTCCGAACAAAGCAACAATAGTCCAAACAAAGTCCAAGGCACTCGATATGTAGGTGAAAAAGTTTATTTTGCTAAAATCTAGGTGCGGTGCTGAATTGTGATGTTTTAAAAAAAATGCCATGTCAATAAAGTCGTTTTAACTTTTTCTTTTACTTTTCAAGAACATTTTTTTTTGCATTTATTTCTGGATTTATATCTAAAAATATTGTTATATATGTCAGGTTAATAAATGCTAATGTCCCTTTGTGAAGAAACAAAATTCCGCGTACAGCAAGGGAAATGAAATGACACCAATGCTGTAATGTGATTGGTTATTGAGACATAATCTTCAGTGTCACAATTTTGAGATCATCTCTGAATTCATATCTGCCTTGTAGTTCACCTTTCTTGTTTTTGTTATTAGAAATCCATGCATGCTTTTAGAATAGCATGCCAATCGAATTTAAAATTTGCATTTTTGTAGTTTACATGACAACAATAACATTTTATAAACTTCCACTTTTAAAAAAAGGGAAATGCCTCAAACATCTGTTGGTTTATAATCCTGCTTTAATAAACATTTAGAGTACATCTGTGTTGCGTTTTTATATGTCTGCACTGTAAAAAAAAAAAAAAAAAAAACCGCTTTTCTTAAAGTATTTGTCTTGCTTCTAATCCAAATATCTAAATATTCTTAAATCAAGAAGCACTTTCTAAACAAGTAACAAATATTTTCTCGTTTTTTCAAAATAAATTGTCAAATGAAGTGTTTTTTCCCTTAAACAAGCAAAATAATCTGTCAGTGGGATAATAAAAAAAGAAACGAGGCCTAGAAATGAGACAAAAACTTTAAGAAAGGCTTTTTTTGCACTTCGTGACTGTAAATTTGCTGCAAAAGTGTCAAGTTAGAAACATACTTTCACATTTAAAAAGGTTTACAGAAGTTGGCATTTTCATGCCCCAAAGCATCAGGTAATGGAATATCAAGGAATTTAAATTCTTAAGTCATAGAATATTAGAGATTTTTGATTGTCTCTTTAAAGTTTATTTGTAACATTTATTTTTGTAATATTGTGCTGTTTCATGGCTATTGTGGTGGTTAGCCTACTTGTGGCTTCATTTTATTCCTTTTACACACATCAAGTGGCAGTCAACTAAGGCAAACATGCCAAGATACATTTTAAGTATTTCTTTATTTTAAGCTAAAAAGTAGTAGTATGTAAAAAGTTATCAGTTTTTAAAGTTAAAAAGGCATTGTGTTAACGTAAGTCTTTTCCTGTTTTAATTATGTTTCTGTCTCAGGGTGCTTGTGGTTCTTGTTGGGCATTCAGCTCTGTTGGGGCTCTTGAAGGTCAGCTGATGAAGACCACAGGAAAGCTGGTGGACCTCAGTCCTCAAAACCTGGTGGACTGTTCTTCTAAATATGGCAACCTTGGCTGCAATGGCGGGTATATGTCTCAAGCCTTCCAATATGTTATTGATAATGGCGGCATTGATTCAGAGTCCTCTTACCCTTATCAAGGAACGGTAAGTCATTTGTGTGGCTTAATGCAACTATATGAAGAAAATATGACTATGTTTTTATGTGGCTAAGAGCTTGTCTTTTTTTCTGCACGACTGTAATCCATTATCATTGTAATTCTGTTGTGTAAACTGATGTGTTCAACAGCAAGGATCGTGTAGATATGACCCATCCCAGCGTGCAGCAAACTGTACTTCTTACAAATTCGTTAGTCAGGGAGATGAGCAGGCCCTAAAAGAGGCTTTGGCCAACATCGGGCCCGTTTCAGTGGCCATCGACGCCACCCGCCCTCAGTTTATCTTTTACCGCAGTGGTGAGTATTTCTTCACAGCTCAGACAGCCCGAAACTTAACTGAGTGTAAAAATTACATTTATTTTTTGTTGACTTCTGTTCACAGGGGTTTACGATGATCCATCCTGCACACAAAAGGTAAACCATGGAGTGCTTGCTGTGGGATATGGTACACTTTCAGGACAGGACTATTGGCTGGTCAAAAACAGGTGCAGTCAATTGTTATCATAAAGTGACTGGATGACTTTGTTTTTGGAAATAAACACTAAATGAACGAAAAAAATAAATACTAATGCTGGTTTTCTCTTGTTTTAACAGTTGGGGTGCTGGATTTGGAGATGGTGGCTACATCCGTATAGCCAGAAACAAGAATAACATGTGTGGCATCGCCTCAGAAGCCTGCTATCCAATTGTATAACTGAAAAACTATTGAAATATATGAATATATGGAAATAAGAAATTTACCATATTATAATCCAGTTTCTTAGCTGTACATGTATGTTTTGTTTTTCCATTTCTATTGTTTTTATTCAAATTGAATATTGTATAATTAGTTTTAATTCTTGTCTTTTTTTTGTCTAGTAAAATATTAAAGGAAATATGGTTCCACTCTGTTCAGTATGTTTACAAATGACTTGGTTTATTCAGTGCAACATCACAACGAACAGTTTCACATGAGGTATTAAAGGATTTTTCAAGATCAGCACACAATGTCCTGTTATGATTGACATTTAAATTGCTGTGATTTTTACACCTTTGGTTGATTAGCCACATTCATAAGGTAACACAAGGGAGAGAATGGCATAATATGACACAGATGCTCACACCAGCAGAAAGAGATTTTAGATGAATGACAGGTAAAAGAAGAAAAAAAAAAGAAAACACTTGCTACCTTTTCAGTCTGCTTACCCGAACCGTTAATAAGTGGATCTCCAGATGACAAAAATGCCTTGAGCGAATGAATTCTGTCTGCCTATGTTGTGATCCAACATTTAAGTTGCTAAAAATCATATTTTCATTAAGATGATCCATATGACACAGCTAGAACATAATTGCATCATATTTGTAGAGACAAACATATTTAACATTTATTTTGGTCTCTATCCTCACTTTAACACAGTAACACTTTTTGGTAGTTTTTTTCTTTTTTTGGAGGGATAAGCAATCATAGGATCAGCAAGACCCCTTTTCTTGCTCCGATTGTCATTCCCATTTGGTCTTTATATTGATAAATGTTCTTCAGTCTCTCATTTCTCCCTCTCTCTCACACATACACACACACACAAACAAACAAGGTTCTTTCTGCCTGCAGGTAGGGCTGTGATTTAGTTGTGTTCACGGATTGATTCCAGCACATTTGGCTATAAAAACTTAGTAACGCACAGACGCTCCCTGAATGGATGGGATCTTTGGTACAGTTACATCTCAGCTACACGACACATCACACACAGTTGAGGTAGATGAAATTAGAGCTGTCGGGCAGAACAAAAAGCGCCAAACGGGTTTCCCTAAGGCGGGAAGGAATGGAAATTTCACTTCAGATTTACACACTGTACTAACTCTTAAATATATCTTAAGATGTTAAACACTACGAGAATATGGCGCAATTTATTTGTGCCTCTCAAGGTGCGGTCACATTTACCGTTGCCCTGCGAAAATTCGCGGGCGAATTCTATTCAAATCGATCGAGAGTGTCGCGCGAGGACGATAAAGTTCCCCCATGTTGATTTAGCTCAAGATGGCCATGCGAATTCACCGCGTTGACCACCTGAAAACTGCTTTGTTTGAAAGTGACTTCGTCAGCAGTGGTCCATCGCTGCACTTCAATGAAAATGGAACATTTTGCCGTCAAATTAAGTTAATAAACAAAATGTCCACCAGGAGCCGCCAAATGCTAAGGTACGTCAGCTAAACGTATTTTTTGGATGCTACAGGTCATTGAGTGATCTCTAACCATCTACTGCTTTAATTCTCCATATGGTCATATCCTAATTCAATATATTTCTATGAAAAGAGAGGCCCGACAACAAGCTCTGCAACAGGGTGACCTGGAGAGTTGAGGTGCACACACGCCAACACCCTTTGCCCTGCGCGCAGCATGCTTACAATTGTCACTCATTAAACTTTAATTCGCATCCCCAAACTCCCATTCACCACCCCTCCCCTTCCTTGCCGTGATTTGGTAATGCAGCGAGCCTCTGATCTGCCACCCCTCCCCGTGAACGCCCTAAGCCCATGGGCCCAAGCGAGTGCCGGCCCCAGCCGCCAAGAGGACACAGATAAAAAGGGCTTCTTTGAAGTTGGCAAAAGTCGATGGCCTCTTTCATGGGCCCTCTTTCAAGTGCGTGCTGCGAAGAGGCCTCACTACATTCCCTGCAAAGGTTAAACACAGGGGAACGAGAAAGAGCATTGGAAAAGGGACGATCACTCCCTCGACGGCCCACCCCGAGAGACCACGGCGCATTATGTATGATCGTCGTACAGTAAATGTGGACTGCACTGAGGAGATCACAGTTCAACAGCCTAAATATAGAGTCATCTTGACTTCACAGCCACTTGTGTGCCGTCTCATGCTGAGTCTCGATCTGTTTGGTTAGGCTGTGGCCTAAAGGGTCTAGACATGCAGCACATGTGAACGATGAACATGGATGAATATGCTAGCCCAGCTATCAAGATACGAACACAGCGTTGAGTAGATGAGAAACGTTAGACATTCAGGGAGGACAAATATTCATCTTTGGTATTGGGACTCCTATCAGAGACAGGGTCATTTTTCACACACAAACAACACTTGGTGAAATAAATACTGACGGTAACTATCAAATAAATAAAATAAATAGCTAGAAGATTGGAAATAAATACATAAATAATTATAAATACACAAAGTGGTTCCCAGTTCATATTCAATTCAAGCTTTTGTGAGTACTTTCCATCAGGGTTTTCGAGATTTTGAGCTTTTTTCCAGTACGAACAGCCATCGGGCCAGATTGTGTGCTTGAAATTTGTACAAAAAAAAAATACAATTCTTCATCCTCAGAGTGACATCTTAGAAATTTTCAAAATCAGATGGAAATTATGCACAAGAAGAGAGTGGCCTGTCAAAAAGAACTCATCGAGAAGTCTTTTGCAAAAAGTGTCACAGCTGCTCTTCCTGCTTCTCCACGTCTTGTTTGCCCTCATATTGTCTGAGGATGCAACTCTGTCTTGTACCAAGGCTGTAGCTGTCCTACAGCAGAGGCTTTTCTTCTTGGACAATGAGGCCTGGCTTTTAAAATGAAAGAGTATAAAAAAACAAGCTCTCGAAAAATGTTCACATTTTGGTTTCAGCTTCTTTGTCCAGTAGTTTTCCCCTTTAAAAGTATCTGTGAAAGATTCGTTTGCATCCTTCTTTGTTTCTTTGGTCAATATTTATCCATTTGTTGCAAAATCATGTCTTTTGAGAACCCTAAAAATATCATTTTTCAGCACTGATTAAACCTTGCAGTGATTTCATATGCTGTAACAAATTACAAAATAAACCGATTTCATATCTATTCAATACCTTTTCATAACGCTTGATTTGTGAATGATTTCATAAGCCCCGGTGTGGTGGGCTCATCCTTCACGATTAAAGCTAAAGTAATCGATGCTAAAACTACAATCAAATTCTGTCTCGTCTAGACATTGTGGACATCACCCTCGTAAAGACTTCATCTTTGGTTTCATATGCTGTTGATTTGTATACAAAAACACTTTTGATTAAAAATCTCAAACACTAGGAGCTGCAGCTTAACCTGTGCTGTGCAGAGCAGAAAACGGCTCATTTTCCCATCATGCCGTGGAGCAGGTCACAGCTGGAGATGCGGTGCTGGAGCCCGATGAGCCGGTGGACGATGGACGACCCTCTTCGGCCCATCGGTTGAGGTTTCTGCGACGAGCGTTCATGAAGAAGTTGCTTACAGTGGAAAGCTCAAGGCCCAGCTGCTGAGAGATGGTGATCTGGAGGTCTTTAGTTGGTCTGTGGTTCTCTCTAAAAATGGCCATCAGTGTGCGACGCTGCAGATCTGTGAAGACTAGCCTAGTGCGCTTGGGCCCCTGGTTGCGTTCCACCTTGGACTGCTCCTGTTCCTTACGCTTACAAGCTAAGATAAAGAGAAAGAGAAAAACATTAGTTTGCAAGGAAAACCTGACATTTTTCTAAATTTTTTTTACCATCAGAATTCATCTTTGTTTATGTAAATATCCTTTAAAGAACTACTGATGACAATGACATTTTTTAAGAGTAAAGGGCGAAACACTCCAGCATTTTAAAATATTAAACACTGTATTGGCATTGAGAGATGAATATCAAGACAATTACCTTTAAAGAAATAGATCAGGACATTACCGTCAAGGGCTGTATAAACTTAAAACAGACACGAGGCTACTGTAAGCGAATGCTGTCAATGCATTTTTATTTCGTAATCATCATCATCATATCTTGTTATGTAATTCCTGGCTTAATTAAATACCGCCCTGTGTGTAGACCAGACTATTGCCTGAAAACCAGAGAGTCTCTATCAGACAACTGCCAACTTGATAGATAGATAAATGTACTTTATTGATCCCCGAGTGGAAATTGAGGATAAGAGAGATTAAGCGATAGAGAGAAAGACTGTAAACGTGCTGAACAATAATGATCTATATCAAATACAATAAATGATGGACAAACTAGAAGAAAACCCCCAAATAAACACTTTCATTTTTGTTTTATAATCATTTAATAATTCCCTGATTCTCTCAATTGTCCCCACCTGTTTTCACCAGTTTAACGTCAACCATTAACTAAATGCTTCCTGATGTTGTAATCATGTGTAAAAGGTAGGAATTACCATGCTATAAATCCTGTGCTCCGCACCACACTCCCAGACATAAACATCCCCCCATAGAGTTCTTATGATCGTGGGAGCAGGCCCTAATCATGATGTATACCACTTGTCTCATGTAGCTGAAACGTGATCGAAAGCCTTTTTCATAAACCACCCCCACCCCCCGATTGCCTATCACCCCCTTCTCCCCCCGAAGCCGTACTCCCTGCCTACTCCACCCCCTGCTGATTTTTTTTCGGCCAGGGGCTGATAGAAATTATTGATTAAATCTGTGTTGCTCAGACTCCCCGACCTATAGAGGAGCTTTAACCCCTTTAGTGCTGGATGAAAGGGGAGCTTCTGTGTGCCAAACATTTATTGTCAATCTCAGCAGGGATCTACACTTAACTATGCGATTTCTGTACAAAATAGGTCTGGGCTGAATACATAAAAGTGCCAGAATCAGGGAAAAAGCCTCTGCTATTTAATCTGATTATATCTATGATTCCTTAAGACAAGAGCTTTAGGGTTCAGTGCTTGTGTGTGAAATCCCAATGCTGTCCGAACGCCGAGCTTTAGAGTAATGATCTCTACCCTGCCCTGCGACTGAATTTCTCTCTGTTCATCTCTCTCTCCCAATCAAAGCTCAGGCAGTTTGCAAAAAACACACAGACACAGCCAACAGAACACATCCACACAAAAGACCTGCGGAAAAACTGAGAGGAAAAAAAAAATACTGGAAAAACCAGGATACAAATTTTAGGCCAATTTATCTAGTTCCTAAAATATTTAATATCTGTT